CCAAGACACGTGAATTCATGGACAATTATAGAAAGTACCCATATAATGTATTATGAGCTGGCTATAGCCTATACTATCAAAAAACCAACAAGTATGTGGATCTATTAATAAAGAAATTATAAATTTGAAATATTTTTTTGATAACTCGCAGCTTCAGAAAGGAATTATATATCTTACGGAAGGGCGTCGTGAGCAACGTAGTCAATCTTGTGTTTGTTGAGGAACTCCTTTGTGATAACCCATGGAGCATTAGGAATAACTTCATCTACCCACCTACAATTAAGTAAGTACAATATTTCAGCTGTAAATGTGATGAAAAACATAAATTACACAGCACTTTAGCTAAATTCATTTTGTCTGATTTTAGTAATTTACATGAGGGCTCATTCGCATCGAAGCTAAAGCATATGCCAACATGTAACTTGACATACCGACAGAACTCACGTACGACTAGTTATTACACTAAAGAGTTCACAAAATCAGCAGTCTGACTTATAATACAAGTCAAATGACATACCATGACAAATGAAGCAAACAAGAGTAGACACAAAACAAGAACATGATAAAGGAAAGAAAGCAAATCATGCAATTAATCACTAATTAAAAGTAATTGTTAATTCACCAGCATGATCAGAATTTTTTTCAAATAAAGGCAAAAGCTTGGTGATGACGCTGATCTTGACGCTGCTCTAAGATCACTAACACTACCTTTAACTAAGATATTGTAACTGGAAAGGATTTAATAGCTGATCATCAGATCATCAATTTTGATTTATGGAGGATGCTTTGTACAGAGCTCAATAGCAGCGAAAGATTCATGCAGCCACAACCCAAAACAATTGGGATATTACGGTATGTTGTTGTTGCTATTGTATCATTATAGTATCAAATTAATAATAAGAAAGTGACGTAATTTGTTCCTGATATGCAAAAAAACACAGGCTCATGAGGTATACATGACCAATAATCAACAAAAGTAACAGCAAAATCTGGAAATAACTTTTTGTTTAGGTCGACAAGTACTGTGGTAACTATTTTCTGTAATATGTATTAAACTGAGTAGGAAAAAGGCAACTCCAAATAAAATAACTTGTTACACAATATAATATTTGATTTAATAAGCATCCAATTTCTTACGAGCATCATAGCATAATAGCATTAGACTAAAGAGCCATTTCGATATTCAACAATAATGAAAAATTCCAAATTTAAATCAACTATCTGTTAAATCTGTTTCTTTATAGTCTGTTGTCTCTCCCATGTAGGTTAGTCAGAGAGCAATGGTTACAAAGCTTCAGTTTGTTATTTCTTTATCAAGAGAATAATTTTCTGTCCTAGTAATGTCAGAAGGATGTGGCTAATTTTACCTAAGAAGCATTTCTTATATGACTTCTGACTCATAATTGTGTTTAATGGGGGAGATAAGAAACAACATCAAAGATTACATTGAATAACGAAAAGTACCTTTTTTTTGCTTTCTTATGAAATAGAATTTACATGGTTGTCTACAAATATCAAAAAAACCATTATTTGTTTGACTAGATTTACATCACCGAAAGATATAAAAAAGCAGCAGAAGTAATTTACCAGTAAACCAAAAGTTTCCCACTACAAGTAAAAAGGATTTCAGAGTACAAACCTACAGTGACGGAGAGATTCATAACGCTCAGATTCATTCATGACTGTTTTCCCCTTATATCTATGAGTAATTTCATCATTGCAGACACCCACAAGTAAATAAGTGTTTGGGAATCTGAAAAAAAGAACATGTCAATTTAAGCAAGATAGTTCATAAGAAACCATGTCTCAGCATAATTACAATTCATAAGCAATAAGATTTTGAAAGAATAACAGAATCTTAGATGGAGAGAAAAGACAAATTCTATGGCTTTATCTCTCTGTTTGACTTTCCATTCACTTTCTTGACCAAAATGAACTCGCTATACACTTTGTTCAGGGAGAAAAAATTACAGCTTAAGAACTTTTCTGCTATCAAAGCTTAAGAAGGTGGTAATCTAGGAAACTGGAAAAACTTTTGAGCACAAGAATAATATTTAGAAACTGATTAAATGATACAAAAATGCTCAAGTTAGAATATTATAGATAAAGTCAAATCAACCAATGCAGCATAATATTTCAGTAATCTGTACAAAAAGAGGGAGCATTATTTCTTTAGCATAAAAGCTTATCAATACTTGCAGCCGAAAATTATAACTAACAATATGATACCTTATACTGGCTAGATGTTACATAAGAACTCCATAAGTCCAGAGATCAACAAAAATAAGAAGATGATCACTTTTCCATCTGTGGAAACCATCCAAGTACTATTTTGTTGCCCCTACACTTATACCAGGAAAGTGCACAGTGTAAAAGCATTTATTATTTGTTAAAAAATTATGGAAGTGGAGCTCATCCTCAAATTTACCAAAATAATGAATAATCGAAGTTCTGATTGTTGAAGAGGTTTATTAAAGATATTACTGAACTACAGACAGAACTTCACAGTAATCAAAGGCCTTATTCTTGGCTTTTCAGCTAATACAATTACCTAAAATACAGATTCTAATCAACGTTTAAAATAAAGGAAAGAAAATTTAAACCAACTCCTCCAGGATATATATTTTCACATAGGGTTGTATAAAGATAAGACATAATTAAATCCATTCTAAAGCCAATCAGATCCAAGCCAAATATGGATAAACATTTTGAACCAACATTCTGATTGGAGATCAATTAATATTCAGAAAAGAGGTGCATCGACGTCAAGCCAAGCCATTGCTGATCTAATCAGATTCAACAAATGAACAACACCTGTTAATATCTCAAATCAGAACTTGATCAAGTATAAGCAATTTATCAATGTTAGTTTACAATCAGGTTTTCAGATTGATTTTTTGGGTAGGAGTTCAAGGTGTCGATTGGACAAGTTTTTAGCAAATTCACTGGATTATTTGGTTGAATCAGATCTGATTCACATCATGTACTGGCTGATCCTAATCCAACCCTTTTATGGCCCTATAATCATCATAGGTTCCAGAGAAAAACTAAGTTCACTCACAATATCATATTCTGCAGCAAAAAGAAAAAGCTTTGCTCTTAACTGCAAGAAATGTCCAATCTACAAACAAAACCTCTGCCACCATTACTTTAAACACAAGCAATTAACAAATTAGGATTGCAAATCTCTTCGCATGGTATCTTGTTCCAAATCACACAAGTGGACTTTACTAACTTTTGACTCGGGGTTAGGAAACAGAATCCCCATGTCAAAGCACTAAATCAAATCATTCAGCGGCACCGAAGGAAGGAACACGTGCCCAAGCGTGTGATGCGTTCACAAGAATTAATCACAAAGACGCTCTTTATTTAAACTGAATCTTAATTTATGACAGAAATCAAACTAAAGAAGAACATGGCTCTATGATTCCATCATGCTCGTGATGCCTTACGACGCATATATGATCTAGTTTCGATTCCAATGCCATTAAGGTTTTGCACCACAATCTAATTCTTTTAACCAGAACTTCGAAATTCTTGACCAACAATCATCAAGATTCGAGAAAATGTATACATGTAAGGAATATATGTGTAATAAAACCAAATGAAACGGGAAAGAGGACGCACAATTTCTTGGCTTGTTCAAGAGCTCGAGCATGCCCAAAGTGGAAAAGATCGTAGATCCCGTCGGCGTAGACGCGGACCGGCCTATCCAACGGGGGTTCCTTCTCGGGCTCCGGCGGATCGCGTGGGGACACAGTCGACGCCGAGGATTCCTCGGCCGACTTGGTGGGCGGCACGCGACCGTCGCCGGAGCCGCCTTCCTTGGGCACACCGCCTTGCCGCCTACGAGGTAACCGCGCCATCGGAGACGTTCACGAGCCCACCTGTCCTAGCCGGACGATTCCCGTCACGAGAACCACGGTACGGAGAGAAGCAAGCTGGAGGAGGCGGAGATCGAGGAAAGAGTGCCGATGGCATGCCTCTCTGCAAATAATTCAATCAACGATCGAAGATATGTCTTTTTCCTATTGAATTTACCGAAATAACCTCTAAATTTTATGAGGCAATTATTAGTCCCTTCATTTGATGAATCATCATGCAACGATTCAATTCTCACCTCTAAAAATTTTACTTTGTATGATCCAAGATTTATAATTTCGGTTACGTGTAACAACCAATATGGTATCTATCGAGATATATAAAATTCAAAAATAATTTTAAAATTATCTAAAAATAAATAAAATTAGATTAAGATTTTTAAGTTAGAAATAAATATAATTTTAATAAAAATAATCTAAATTAGAAAAGAATAATAATATATCTTTTTTCGACTTTGATTAATTTTGTGGTAACTTATGAATCGTCTTTGTTAATATTAAATTATCTATAGAGAAATAATTTGAATCGTTAGATGTGAATGAAACTCATTCGTATGATTTAAGTAGAACGATCCCAGCTCTCGATTAACTGACATCAGATTACGACTGATATAGGTCATGTTATGGTATCGCTCGATAGAAGATAGTTCGTATAAGGATTTCTTATCGGATCAATATATTTCGCTCATTATAAGTCAGTACTATCAATTTTGGTATGATCCTTTCTTTTTTTCTTTTAAGAGAAATCTTATTGTCATATGCTAAGAAACACATGATTGAGTGTTTAGTGATTTGACGATACTTTTGTCATTCGATATTATTGCCCCTCTTAGTTTAGTAATAGCAAGATGCCATACGTCAGCCCTTCCAACTTCTCCCAACCGACTCGATCCGGTGATACTTAGATCTCACGCGTGCTGGACACGTGATGACCATGTAAGATCCACAAATCGAACGTCTCTGAAATAATTCCTCTTTGGCGAGCCAACACAACGAATGCGAAGCTGTCGAAAGATTATTCTGGAAACATAAGACCACAGCCTCAGCATCTGCTTGGAAATCATGTAGAATTATATTATTTATTCTCTGCAAAAATAATTTTGATAAAGATGCATAAATTTGAGAAAGGAAACTGTGGATATTAAACGATATGAACCAATAAAGTTAACTTTTCTGTCCTGCAGTCGAATTACATCCTTGAAGCAGCTAAAGTATCTCGCAGTTTCCTTCTTAATGTCTTCCCTGCTGGTGATCGGGGAATCGAGCTGACGAAGACCACCTCTCTAACCTTCTTATAGGGAGTCACCTAGAACAAACATCAACAGAAGACGATGTAAAAGAATATTGAGATCTGGATTCAAAGAGTCAAAATATTACTTGAACTTAGGTCATGGTCCCAAAGATACATCTCAATTTAAGATACAGGAGATAGTTTCATAAGCATCTGTTATTATTAAGTTCCAGAGCCTCGATCAGGATCAGATGAACCAGAAGTCAACCTCGAAAGAACTGGCAGAAGACTGCTTACATGTGCATTCTAAGGGTCAAACGATTATGTTAATTTGGATGTGCTATTGAAGGTTTTCCTTTATTTTTATGCTTGAGACTAAATAGATCAACTAAAGACAAGATTCTATTCATTATGGCTGTAGGGAGGCACCATGTCGGGTGTCATTGACAGACCATCAACGTACGCTAATCTGTTTACGCTAACCCACAATTGTCAGGTGCTTTTCTGGAGGATTAATCTGGCTTCAGGCATCAGTGATCTATAGATAAATATGGCATTAAGGACAAGATTTATTTTACCCTTTGATCTCTAAAAGTTTTTTAAAAGATTTGTGGTTTTGAAGTGAAAAAGGAAGTGATGCAATTAATGTGGATACCTGCTTTGCCACAAACTCGATAACATCAGTGGATGAACGCTTGCTTCCTGACCTCGTAACTACAAATGCCACTGGTATCTCCCCAGCTTCTTCGTTCTTAGCCCTACAGAAGTCATAGGATAATATTAGGATAAAAGCAGCGAAAGATGCATGCATTAAGAATCTCTTGGTTCTTTGTTGAACTTGTAAAGCTTTCGCTGTCACTGCAACATCCACGATGTCAGGATGTGCAATCAACAAGGCTTCCAAATCAGCTGGTGCTATCTGCAAGAGAGATGTCATACAAGAAATTTACAGAGATACTGCAGAAAGTTGCAACAAGCAAACATGATCATGTAATAAGGCTCAAGCAGACTTGTATATGGCTTCTTTTCTTTTAACATTTCGGTTTGATATTTTAATTATTAATGAATACTTCTTGAAATCTCCCAAATGTTCCTATTTTCTCATAGTAAAATAAGGCATATACTGAAGAACAGCACATTAGTTACCAGCCCTCTTTTTGCATCATGAGTATGAGAATTGGATATACCTGAAATCCTTTGTATTTGATGGTCTCTTTCAGACGGTCCAATATATACAAGTATCCATCTCCATCAAAGTATGCAATATCCCTCATTTAAGTAGCCTCGATGATTGCTGATGAAGTTGCATTATCATCATTGAAGTAGCCTGTTTAAGTTTTGATATCAATGGTTATACAATTGGAAGTTGATATTTGGAACTGATGGCAAAGAAAATAAAGGGGGCTTATTCTAGCAATCGTCACTACAACTATACATGTTTCCGCTGCAACACTTAAGCAACATACAATCACCTATATAAATATATATATACGACACAAGTTTGGCAGACAGAAAAACGAAAAAATACTTGAGCCACTTTTATCTGCATTGGTTCGCCTTAATGAAAGTGCACAATGTGTTTCAGAAAGTAAGAGAGCTAATTCTTACACACGAATGAGAAGCCAAACATCAGAAATATCAATCGGACCTCTCTTCCATGTAGTTTCTTCATGATATTAACTATAGTGAAGATAATTGCACTTATTCAGCATCATATTGTCAAACTAAAAAGGCTGTTTTATAGCCAGGTATACAATCAGTGGTGTACAGAATCACTACAGGCCATGCCAGGAAATAATATACACTATACAGAATTACCTAAATGGTCAGCATCTTTAATCTGCATGATATCCAATAAATTCTCTAGATTGCAACTCAACACTAACTCAAGCATACCTCCACATAATTGTGATGATCATAAATTGGTAAGTTAGTATATTTATGTGAAAATGTTAGTTTCATATGGCAGTTGCCCATCCTTTGCCATGGCAAGAATTCTCAGGGCACGGACCTAAACATACTTGGTGAATGTCCGTAATTTAGTTTCCATTTCTGCTTGGCCCTTGTGGCAGAGGCGTAAGTTTGTAATCCACGGGCTCTCATCCTGAATAGCAGTAAAAATATGCTTCTTCATATTCATAATATTGTATATAGTCTGCCATCTTATACAGTTGCATTCTTCATAATTTCAAATCAACCTGGATCAAGTGATTTTTCATTCATGAACCTGAACCAAGTCAAACTCATTCGAGATTAATTATAACCATTTAATCTTCTGAAGAGAAGCAACTACAGTCTTGTCTGCATTTATAAGATCTATCTTTTCCATTGCCAATTAAATCAATGCAATATTTTAGAAGATCAGGATGAAGATGAAATACACAGGCCTTGGTATGGGATCTAGAAATTAACAAAACAATCAACGAAATAGATGCAAATCAAATAGCCTTAAAGAGCAGGATAACAAAACGCTTCCACAGTAAGATTAGATGCAGCCAAACAATTTTTTCCAAAACATGCCCATATAAAAGCTTAGAAGCTTAGGCTGCTGTAACTATTTTTAAGTTTACCTTTCATAATGGCTGATCCATGAAGCAACAGCTCTCCACTTGTACCAGGAGGCAAACAAGACCCTGTCTCTAAATCAATAATTTTAGCTTGCATGTTTGGAGCTAGCAATCCCACAGAAATATGCCTTTTACAATTTGTTGTATTGAAACCACAAGTTCCTACTGCAGCAGATTCTGTCAAGCCATACCCCTGCAATAAAATTAGATAAAACAATAATACCCATTAAATGAAAGTCAACAAATATGTAAACGCCTTAAAGTTTTAAGTTATGGTGGCAGCCTAGAAGCTGGCTACATGCAGTCACAACCATGCCAGTTGGCACAAATTTAGCACAAAATCTATGCCAACCTGGCACAAGCATTATGCCAGCATAATGCTATTGATACGACCCAAGCATGAGGACAAGTCAAGTGCTAATGTCATGATGTGCTACTTCTGAATACCGGAAAACATACCAAATCAGAAGTCCAATATACATTATGAATTTATTAAAATCACCACTTACGTATCAAAAATAAGAAGGCTCAGCGGATGCTATGTAAGAAACAGAGATCTACTTTGCCCATCATTTTCCCAAAGGCAGGGATATTTAGAAAAATATAATAATACATCCACTTCCACATTTTATACTTGTTTCATAATGTCGATTACAAATATAATTCTCACACCAAGCATGGATCTGTATACAAATATCCAATTCAAATTTGGATGTTAGATTCAATTAAACTAGAATTTAAAATATTAGATTCAGATATTCACATGGATGGTAAACAATAAAGTGGCCATTTGGTCTTCATAAATTTATGTGTTTATGGTTTCATCTCTCTTTGAATAGATACTCATTAAAGATGTTAAGTTCTAGTCATTTAGGATATAGATAAGCATCTTTCGAACTTTTTTCCTTTGGTGCATGATGGACTCCAGATTATACGCACACCATTCGCCCTATATGAGTATGCAACTCACCTGTGTCGAAGCCATTCACATCCTGAGTTAGTAATTTACAGGAAGTTGCGACAAGCACATAGATTTCCATAGTAGAATGAATCTACAGTAAAATATAAACTAATGATTCTGGAGATTATGCTTCATGCAACCTACAGGAATGGAAAGACTTGAGAGGAATTTTCATATTGAAGAAAAAGGACACAAACGGATGTCCATATTGAAGAAGAGTAACACTACCACAACATGCCTTCTTATGCATCAATATAAGTTGCATTTGCATCAATTTTGCATAAAATATAACAAAGAATTATCTACGAGATGCAACATTAAATGCAAAGAGATGTGACCACATGGGTGCTCAAAACCCAAGACGCAGAGCAAGTAAACAAATTAACTTTGATCTATGATTCATAAAACCAAAGCTCCAAATCTCGTACTTGTCTTAATCAAATATCAAAAACTTGAGGGTGCCATGTAAAATCTAACGATAGGAAGAGCGATCATCAAAGATGATTAAATAACTAGTCTCACCTGAATGAAATCAACATGAGGAAATGCCTTCAAGAAGTCATGAATAGTTTTTGGGGCAATCGGAGCCGCTCGACATGAAACCTGCACGAGGGACTGTAATCGGCAGCCGGTGGCACCCTTGGCCCTTATCAGGGTGGTCAATATCGGTGGGACAGTAGGAAAATGAGTGACCTTAAACGCATCGATAGCTCGAACTGCCTCCTCCACATCGAACTTTCTCATCACCACAATGGTGGATCCCAACGACAGGAGCCCCATGGAGAAGAGGGAAAGACCATACACATGGAACATGGGGATGGCTGTGAGGTAAACATTCCTCCAGATCTCACTACTATACAGTGAAGCTTCGAGCCGAACAAAAAGCTCCACCGTAGCAATAAGGTTCCTGTGCATAAGAACAACCCCTTTGCTGGCCCCAGTGGTGCCAGAGGAGAAGAGTATCGCGGCGGTGTCGGTCTGACGGATGACAGGCCTCGGGGCGTCGTTGGGATCACTCGAAATGAGATTGTTGAAGAGGACGAACTTGTGGGCGTCTAACTTGGGCTCCTCCGGCACCGTGACGATCTTGACATCCAATCCGCCCAGCTTCGCGACGTTGCCTCAGCTTGTTTTTCCTGATCCACATGTGACAGCTCATCCAAAATCAAGTCAACTTGTTCTGAAGCTGAACTACTAAAAGCCACACTCTCAAACGACACAGACAGGTAATGGCAACTTCTTTCACATTGTGGCAGGCATCCTTTACCCTGTATGGCGCACAAAAGCAGCCAACGAGGTGATGGTGGTAACCACCACATTCCTATGCCCATGATTAGACATATAGGAGCACTAGTGGCATGCATATAACGGCCATCCACCAATCAAATCAACATAGATGCTGCCAGAGATATATCCCAACTGCAAGTATGGCAAAACAATGAGCATTCACATATCCAAGCCCACATATTTTTGACACACCAGTATATTTATACTTACAAGCATCCCAAAGACAATGGAGAACTCTTTCAGAGAGAGAAGTCTGCCTCGTATCTGAGTTGGAGAAGTCTCTGCAATATACATTCGAGCAGCATGCATAGCCTGATGAAAATAAAACTGCATTTAGAACAAACTTCTATCTTCAAAATAAAAAAGATGTAAATTTAAATGTTAGGCATTATAAATAGTATGATTGCAAGTGCCCATTCAATTCTGTTCAACTTAAAACAAGCAAATAGCAACAGTTCTCTAAAATGATATTTTTATATCAAGGAAATGCAGGATGCAAGCAAAGAATGTTGACTTAATAAATAGAGTATCACACATACAAGATAATGGTATAAATCTAACATGCCCAGCATCAAGTTAAACTCATCAGATATCACATATTAATTAAACTATCTAAACTATTAGACAGTTACGTGCTGTGCTGTAACGATGTTAAAATTTGCTCATTTTATCCAGAAGTGGTGCTATGTTGTATGAATCTCTTCAATAATGCCACAATCTGCCCATTCCATTTGAAAAAGCACAGAAACAATGGCCATGAACTTCATTTATCTGTGTTCATGTGGATGTAATTTTTGGCAAGAAATTACTTCACAAGTAATTTCATCCATAATGAAATTACATACTGGCCTGAGCCCAAACCAGTGTGCTGTCTGCTTGATTATGAGCAAAATTACTTGGTATAAAATTTCAACCAAACAGGTTGAAATTGCACAAATTTGACCAGATTCAGCAAAAACCAACCTACTCAAATGGTTTCGGTTAAGAACCACATGATTCAGCCCAACATCTTATATTAGACAAACAGAGTTCAGAATCACTCGTCCGACTTCTGTAGACTTCAACATCTGATTGAGAAATGAGGAAGCAGAGTCACACACATGGTGAAATCAAAAGTTTGTACAAGAGAAACCAATCTTACCTGCCATATGCGCCGACATATCAATGCAGAAAATAGTATGATGACATACTTCTTAGTTCTTATATTGTTGTACATTCTCAAAATAACAACTAAGATTGCATTGCAAACATCACCAGCACAATCAAGGGACAAAGATCCAATTGGAAAAGAAATGAGTCACAGGACAGGAGTCACTGCCACGAGAATATTAAGTACTTAGAACCAAATATCGTACCGTACCGGTATTTCGAGGTTGGCTCAGTATGATACGGTACCATGTACCGAGCGGTATACCAGGGCGTACCGAGCGGTACACCTAATTTAAAATATTTCTCTCTCTACTGTAGTACTGTAGCACTGCTCCAGTATAGCAAGGTATCATCAACCATCCAGTATTCCATGAATAGATCAATCAGTGAATTCATTCTCCAATGAGCACTTACACTATATCCTTAGTGTCCCCATATAAGCAGCTATGAGACTAGTCGTCTCCATCATATGGACAGAGTATATAATACATTTTTCTGTCTTGTTATCTCGATGTCCCTCTCGAGTAACCTATGACTAGGATTATTTAGGATTTGTGTTTAAAGGTGAATTAGTCTCATTATCGTGATCTCATCACGATCTGATTCTCATTGCACAGATCCATAGATATCACAATATATTTATGCAACAAGCAATATAAAGTGAGAAATTATCATAATAATAATAATAATAATAATAATAAAGATTGTGTGTCATGTTACACGTGTCATCACTCACGTGATTGGCTTGTAGGGCACTCATGACTAGCACATGGGACCTCTATAAATAGGAGAGAACCAAATACCCATGGGTCGTAAGCTTCTTGGTTGCCACCTCCTGCTAGTCATAAGTGCCCAACAAGCCAATCACATGAGTGATGACATGTGTGATTTGACACGGAACTTTTTGATGAGAATCTGATGAGATAATGGGAATCAGATTGTGATGAGATAATGGGAATCAGATTGTGATGAGATAATGAGAATCAGATCGTGATGAGATCATGATAATGAGACCGATTCACCTTTAAACACAAATCCTAAATAATCTCGGTCATAGGTTACTCGAGAGGACATCGAGATAACTGGACAAACTGGTGTGTTGTATACATGTCCATATGATGGATACAACTAGTATCATAGTTGCTCATGTAGGGACACTAGGAATATAATACGGGTGCTCATTGGGGAATGACTTCACTGATTGATCTGCTTACGGAATGTTGGATGGTTGATAATGCCTTATTGTTAGACAGTGATTCCGTAGTCCCAATGGTGTATCTGGTCCTTAGACTTGAGACATAAAGGATGCCCTGTATGAGTGCTCCACTCTTTGATATCATTCTTATAGGTTTGGATGTCCCAGATCTAGCACAACCGGTCTTCAAGAGTGGTAGTCAACCTTACGATGGCTATTGAGTATCGATAGAGGATCATCTACTCTCGATGTCATGAGAGGAATATCTCATATGTTCTTGCTCAAACAAATCCTTGGCCAGGGTTATTCGGATTGAGAGAGAAAGAGTTCTTTGGGAGAATCCGATTAGAGCAAGACTCGAGTAGAAACCATATGGGTCTGACAGCACCATGCCCGGTATACCGTTTCTGGGATATTAGATAGATGAGGGACTATAGGTACATGGTAACTGAGGATAGACAAGTCCAAGATTGGATTCTCTTGTATCGTCTGGGGACTATGGCGTAGTGGCCTAGTACGTCCGCAATCGATGAGTCGAGTGAATTATTATGGAGATAATAATTCACTAAGCTAGAAGGAGTTCTGACAGGTATAACTCACGACCAGCTCAATATTGATCCTAGAGTGTCACACACATATGGTAGACATTGTGATGAGTAGAGGTTCGGATATGAGATATCCATCGGAGCCCCTATCTTATTAGATATCCAATAAGCCCCTAAATTATTGGATCCTATGGATAGAGATCCACTAATCTAAGAGGCTTGGATAGTTGGATGAAAATCCAATACCCAATAGGGGAGGATACATTAGGGTTAAGTTGATAGGGGACCTCTATAAATATGAGAGAACTAGTGGATCATAAGCTAGAGCTTTTTGGTTGCCTCTCCTATTCTCCTCCCCTTATCTATCTCATACGCAGTTTTACTTTTCACGATTATTGCACACAAATCTTCGAACGACGACGAACATATCTTTGGGAATTGAGAATTTTATTTTTTGTTCTTCTGTTGCGCATGTGATGTCGCCCCTAAGATTTCCTAACACCTCCTATTCTCCTCTCCTCTTCTCCTTCTCAAATAGTAGGTGTGGAGATTTAGGCAGCAATTTTGGGAGCGTCGTCGCAGCCCTATTATATAGATCATCGTTAGAGAGGAGGGTGCTTGACCTCCTTCATCCTCTCCTACATATTCATAGGGATTTAGGGATATACGATTTCTCTAGGTAAAACATATCTATCTCATGGATTTAAGTTTTGCGGGTTTTTACGCATCAATCTTCGCACGACGATGAACACTTTTTGAAAAATTTAGGGTTTTTGTTTTATGTTCTTCCGCATGTGATGTCTCCCATAGATTTCTCTATTTTGTTACTCATAAATTATTATATGTAATTATGATTGATATATGATAAAATAATAAAATTCATTTAAAATAATAAGAATATGTAATAGAAGATATGTATGACAATTACTACTAATAGTGCAAGAGGTGATAGAAGGATTATAAAATTTAAAACTATATATAAAAATTGAATATCATAAAATTAACTATGGATATTATTTTATACACTTTTTAACATTTACAAATGAAATTTGTGTAATAACCTACTTAAGATATTGTGGTGTGTTATTGTTGTTGCATTTATAATTTTAATAAAACAATTTAATTATTATTTTATTTTTTTAAAAATGTATTCTTTCCTTTATGTTGGGTTTATACCATATGATATCATGGCATTTTTGTTTGACAATAAGAGCATATCAGAAAAATTGAATATTTAAAATAATAAAAAAATACTTTGGTTTTTCTAAATTATTATTTTATATCTTCGAAATTATTTTCTTTATGTTGGATTTGTTGGCCAATCGTCTGATATCGGATTAATTACTTGGCATTTTTGTTTGATATATAAGAAACAAAAAAGAAATTAAACGTCGCCCGAGAGATTCGGATTAATTACTTGGCATTTTGTTTGATATGTAAGAAAACAAAAAAGAAATTAAACGTCGCCTGAGAGATTCGAACTCTCGCGGGGAAACCCCATGTACTTAGCAGGCACACGCCTTAACCACTCGGCCAAAGCGACGTTGATGTATTGATTTATTTAGAAATTATATAAATTATTAATATATTAATCCCGTACAAACTATTTCTTATGGCTACTCTCTCCCGCTTCTCTTTTACCCCTTGGGAGCGGTTTCTTCACCGTCGGCGTCATGTATCGGCCGCCGCCGCCGTATAACCGCTCTATCGGCAGGGGCGTCAGAATTTAAACTTCGCCTTTCCCGGCAGTCTTCAAGGCCATGTAAACCCTCCAAACCTCCCACCAAACCCCTTCCTGAACCCTTGCTTCCTCCAACCTCCCATTTTGCCCTACCTCCAGAACCCATTCTTTCCTCAGCCGAATCCTTCCCCCAACCCCCAAGCCCTTCTTTACAGGGTCAATGCCGCCGCCACTAAGGCTCGCCGGGACGAAAAGCTCATAGTGAGAAGACAAGTTCACAGTAAATTTTGCATAATCTGTGCCCTTCCTTCTATAGACGAAAAGCTGATAGTGAGAAGACTGCGGTAGAAGACAAGTTCACAGTGAGAACTCTAGAACTTATTGATTCAGAATTTAGATTTCAGATAACAAGTAAATATAGAGATGAAAGGATGACACTATTGAAATAAGGAAAAAGGATAAATAACGTATCCTTTCAGCACCATTAACCATGAAAAATAGACATACCTATGAAGCATGAGTGTTCCAAAATTATTTCTATATCCATGTTGGACGAAGACACTAGTAAAATACTTGACATACCAATACATGATCAAAGACCTAAAAGCATTTTAGCAATCTAAGACATGTATGTATATTAACTAATATATAAGATCCTTATTTGCTAATGTTGCTGCTCAGTCTGCTCTACAAGTTAGTATCATACTTCATCTAGGCTTTTCTTTTGTAGCACACATTTCTCTGCAGAACTCGTGCAAGCACTGTCACACACACTTCTCTGCAATTTTTTGTGTAAGTTTTTCTATGGTTAAGTCGGTCATAAGTATATTATTTATATCGCTAAAATCGTGCTTATTGTCTTATTTTTCTTGCTTATATTTCTTTATTTGGTTGAATGACAGAGAAGCATAACCATACTACTCTATAGGAAAACAAACCTGAATTGTGCAAAGGTTGTAGCCTATACTGTGGAAAAGAGGTTCTAAGATTGTTCCACAGGTTAAGCAAGAAATAAATTGTCGATGATGATACAGACATCATGAATGCATAAGGTAGGAAGAGCTTGAATGAGACACCCAGTGTATCTGGCACATCTGTGGCATGCAATCTCAGCAAATGATGCCGACTGATACAAACAAGAGGAATCCAACAAACACAAGTTTGAACAATTAATTGTAAAATGTATCTTAAAATTTTTCATTTTTAAAAACGAGGATCACAAGAAAAAAAAAAGATTCAGATAAACCTACAATTCACCCAGAAGGAAAAAATATATCACAAATAGTTGGCTAGACGTATCACAAGCTAAAAAGATAATATCATCGATAGAATTAAAATAATTAATCTATATGATGTTTACAAAATTTCGACTGGGCACCGGCCGGTGAAACCTAACAAACTTTCTTGGTGACAAGATATCAATTGGACTTCTTTGCATTGTTCTCTTGCGCATGAGACTTTTCACCTTTCTTCCCTTCCATGACTTGCTTTATCCCTTCATGGTACCCTTGAATAAAGCTTTTTAGTGCATCTCTGTATGCTGAGGCACGCATCATATACACACGCTGCAAAGCAGGCCTTAATGTCTCCATTCCACCTCGAGCTGCCACTGCAAGATCTTCCGATGTTGATGGTTCTCTTCTTTCAGATGTAGTCTTATCTTGATGACTTCCACCATCGTCATTTGTGACCTTTTTATAGTCATTCGGTCTAAGATCGGGACCAATATCCTGCACCCAGCTAGCAGCATAAAGTCTAGATGCTTCTTTCAAGACACACCATCGCTCTCTCCATGTGAGTTTCCTTCGTTTCTTGATATGTGGGGGATCAGGCAGAGAGGAAGGAAAAGCAATTTCCTTTAGATCATAGCAAACATAATCATATAGTTTCCTACATACCACCCTCAGCTTCATCCTGATCTATCTCAACTCAATGAACCTACATCAATGCAAAAGCAAAATATTAAGCATCACATTTCTACTGCACCTATTTCATTCATCTTGGTAGGCAAGATAACAATGTAATGAAACATAGACCAAGAAATAAGAATAAATCAACATGCAAAGTAATCTTAAAATGTTGCTACTCCCAAAAAAAAAAAAACTCCTTACTCCAAAAGGTATAGAGGACATCACTTGAAGGCCTTCCAATACCACATATTTCTTTTACGCATCTCAAAGGATTTTACAAAGTTCTGCTTATATAATCTCATGCAGACTGAACCAAGTTCTGCAACTTTTACCATTTGGACCAATAAATGTTAGCCAACTAGACGGCTTTAGTAGCATTCAGTACAAATGTCAAAATCACCATCCACAACAACAACCCACAGCAGCATTCAACTATTATCTCCCACAAAGATCGAATCTAAATCATGAGCGGCAAGTAGTTTCACCTGATGTGTGTCTATTCTTACAGAATATTTCTAAAATGTTATCTTCATATTAATATTCTTCTTAAATCTAGTAAAAATTACTAAAACCTCCAAAAGTGATTTTTTTTTTTCCTCCTTGGATATAAGGCTAGAAGAAGCAAGAGATTACAGTAACATATAATGCTTCATAATATGTGGTAAATAAAAAGCAAACAACAGGGCTCCTCTTCCAAAACCTAATATAAAGTTTAAGCTTAGGGGACATAATCTTTATCAACATAAGAGAAGAAAATAGTATTTTCTTATTTGAAACCTTCCATACTATGTCTTAATAAACCATAATACTGTCACATTATTGTTGTTCTTCCAATCCCTCCTCATAGTTTAATGGATAAAGTTATCTAGGATGCAAGCAATAGTTTACTATATGCAGCTGGATGAACTTAACAAACATCTACATGATAAACGTGATTATAACAAATTCAAAGCATCTCAATCAATAATCAATAAGTCTTGTTAGAGAGGATAAATAATTATACTGAGTTGGTCAGGTAGGCGGGCGGGTGATGAACTGAGAGGACCAGTAGTTGCTGACCCAAGAGAGGCAATGGCAGGAGGAGGCGCCAGGCGATTATTTGGGCGACTAAGAGGCGAGTGTTGAACTACTTCTGATCGAGTGAGGAGGAGGATGGGTTTACTTTCACTTCAGTGGTAAATTCGATGGTGAGGACGAGGGTGACGACAAGGAGGGGGCTTCTTGACCGCGCTGTTATTGAAGGCAGTGGAGAGGTAGAAATATAAGCACCATCAACTCGATATGAAGCCTAATCCTGCCCAAACGACTTCAGTGATTTGAGTTGGCTTAGTCATAATCATGAGTTTGAACTCAACCTGGGCCGAGTGAGCTCGGCCGGTCTCTCGAGCCACGATATATAGTTTAACCAATCAAGTATTACTTCGAAGTTTGAAAGCAGCCCCCACTCCTATCCCGATTGCATTGTCGTCCATCGTTCAAGGACACACAAGGTGCACGGACATCGACACTCCTCATAAGTATAGCACATGAGAAGTGGATAGACATGTTAAACGAAGTCAATTTCCAAAGGAACTAGGTAGATTGTACAGGCAACGCACACAACTCCGTTCAAAGAGAGTGAAATTGAAGGGACTTATAACATCGGTGGTCAGTTGTATAATAGCAAAGAGCCCACCACGACATACAAATCCATCACCACTCACATGCTGACACAGTCACCCCGTCGAACCGCTTGTGGCCAACAACAAATAAAAAAGACTCATGTAAAAATTCCTAGCGACCAAGGTTACCCGGCAATTAGGGTTTCTTGACGATGGTCACTTTGGCCGCTAGGGTTTTTCAATGGGGATTAATAATTAACCTAAAATTAATTAAAGAGTTTAATTAATTATCGCCTAGTTAGCCTTTTATATATGTATATATACTATATATATATGTATACATGTATGTATGTGTATATATACATATACATACATATATATGTATACATGTATACATATATATGTATATGTATATGTATATGTATATATATATGTATGCATATGTATATATACACATACATACATACATGCGATGTATGTTGTGAGCGGATGATCATGGACCATGTGTGGATGCTTGTGTATGTATGCGTGTGGTGATTTATTAGGGCCTGCGAGCCTCCTCTCTCTCATTAAATCCAACCTATAACAAAATTGTATCCCCCTCAAATTGTACCTCCCCTCGATGAAATCAAAGTTTCTTATTTGTATAAAATATACATTTTGGGCCTGTATATCTGTAATTAAATTGTAATTGCACGACAAGGTACAACAAGAGCGTGGAGTTGCCAATGGGATCGATGAGGATGAGACAAAAGATCATTGGGCATAGAGATATGCTAAGACACAAAGTTTTTCTTTTTTTTACGATTAAGCCTTTTGGCACAGGCGTGATCATGCTAATTCCTGGTCCATGATCATCTGATGTGAATATTTATATATATACAATATATATTCATTTTTGCACCTACTAGGTATATATATATACATATATATATATATATATATATATATACATACACATATATATATATATATACATATACATATATATATATATATATATATACATATATATGTGTGTGTGTGTGTGTGTGTGGTGTTATATTTAGCTATGAGATCAAATCAAATCAAAAAATTCCTCTAGTAATAATATTAAGTCAGTAAATGTGAGATAATGAGATTGACCAATGCGACCTTTCATCATTATAGGCGAAAATTATTTTTCAATATGAGCTGAGTCGGTCGAGTCCCTCAAGGCTTACCTATATTGAGTTTTAAGATTTCGCCTATCATATAGAGATTTCACCGGTGATGTGAGGACATGATACACTTGGTCGAGTCCCTAGAGGGTATATCATCGAATCACACTTATTTTGTAATGATGGTATTAACTTAACTGAGCATCATGGTTGACGAATCCCTCAAGGCCATGATGATTTGGAGACCTAACAAGACGAGAATAGCAAGGAGTTATGATTGACAACAATTCCCCACTCTTTAGGCTTAGTATGATTGGTTAAGCCCCTCGAGGTCATGCCAAGATGCCAATTAGATTCAAATCCATGTTAGAAATCTACTAAAATTTTTTATTCATATGCCAGAGGATGTCGGGTGTTTCGTGAGAAAATAACGAGAGCTTCTTAAGATAAAAGTTCATATCTTAATTTTTAAAAAATAAAAAAGTCTGCTTGTTATTAATTTTCTACTATATCTTTATTTTTCTAAAAAAATATCACTTCCAAACCCCTTACGTTGCATACTTGATGTCAACTGTCTCACTGGTTCGAACTATGTGGATTGGCTCTACAACCTCTACAATTTGAGAATTATTCTCAGTGGAAAAAATCGCATATGTCCTTGATGAGATAATGCCTGAGCTTGGGAAAAGGGCAAGTGAGGAAGAAACTGCTTGCTACATGAAGTATGTAGATGATTCTACTCTAGCTCAATGTTGCATGTTGGCCTCTCTGACTCCCGATTTATAGAGACAACATGAAAAGATGAATGCTAGATCAATCCTTCATCTTCGCAAATTGTTCGAGGAAGAGGGAATGACTCATTTATCCAAGAGTCTCTTACACGCAAGGATGGACTAATGGGGCATCGATTCAAAACCATGTTCTTAAAATGATTGAGTGGATTGATTAGCTATGGGTCTGAGATTGATCCTAAAGGATAACTTGTGTAGATCTCATACTTTAGTCCCTTCTAGATTCCTTTTCACATTTCAAATGAATTTTAGCTTAGGTAATACACACCAATTCCAAGAATTGAAGAAAAAGAATATGCATTACAAAACCTACTGAAATCTCAATCTTAACAATAAGGTGTCATTGCAAATTTGCATATCTATAATGGTTATATATGGAAGAAACCCAATAGAAATTTAACTAGCGGAAGGATGTATATCTGAAACTAAATTCTAAACGAAGGAGAGGCAGACAATTTAAGTGTCTAATCAGTGCCCAATTTATACCTTGAAAGTTAATGTACGAAAATCCCAATCAACATATGCCGTCAAAGTCACCGATATTCCTAAGAACATCATCACCGACGATATAATTTAGACATTTTAACTTTCGAGACTAAAGTTACAAAGAAGAAAGAGCACCAACGAATAACTTACAACTTGAGGGAATTATATAGCATCATAATAACCCAAAGCAGATTGAAGTGGGTGGCGATACACTCAAAAGTCCAAATGACTCAAGTCATTACAATTTCATAACCACTGCATTATATAGTCTGCATCATAAAAAAAATATGATGCTAATAACATTTTATAGATAAATGTACATTCAAAATTATAACTCAACGAAACAGAGTATGTAAAATTGTAATGAAATGAAGACAAGTAATATAGACCACTATGTCATCTGCAAAAGAGTGATCTATTTTTTTATCTTAACTCAAAAACAAAGCTGAAAATCTCAAAGACATTTAACAAAACAAGCTTCCATATTGAAAAATCAGAATTATCTTAGTACAGTGATTTAAAAAGCGCTTGGTGCCAAAGCCCAAAAAAGCCTGAGGTGCTAGGCGCTCGCCCGAGCAAAGCAAGACGCTAAAATATAAAAATATATAATATAATTAATAAATATAATTATTTAAATAAAAATATGATCTTAAATTAAAAAATCTTATAGAATCACAAGATCACATTAACAAAAAATCTCAAAATTCAAAAGAATAACAATAATTTCGAATAAATAAAAATCAACAATAAATAAAAAAATATTGTTAATAGTAGACAGTTAACACTATACTGTTAATATACTATTAACAGTATACTATCGAGTCAACGTGAGAAGAGGGAGTAAGAGTAACAGTGGCGACGAGGAGTGGCAGTGGGAGCGGGAGCGGGAGCGGAAGAGACGATAGTGGCAAGCAGCGACAACAACGGTAGTGTCAGCGACGGCGGTAGCGGTAGCAGCGAGCAACAGTAGCGGGGGCGTAGTGTAAGAGTAAGACTGAGACTGCTGAATGCGAGAAGCAGTAGCAGTAGCGGCGCAGGAGCGAGAGCAACAATAATAGCAACGGTAGCATCGGCGACAAGCAACGATAGCAATGACAAGCAGCGACAATGGCAACGACAGCGGATAGAGGCAGAGGCAGCGACAGCAAAGAGGAAATGTCAGCGGCAGAATCGCGAGTAGGGTTAAGGTTGGGGAAGTCGCGAGAGGGATGCTGAGAGGCTGATATCGATGCTTTAGTTGGTTCGATTGAACCAACTAAAGCACCGAAGACCGAACCAGACATAAAACACTGGTTCGGTCGCTTGGTTTAACCCGGGCGCTCGCCCGAAGCACCCGACACTTGGGCTCGGGCGAACGCCCAAGCGGCACCTCTTTGAAGCGAGGTGCTTGGACATGAAACGAGGTGCTCAGGCCTCGCCTCACCCTTGAAACATGGCTCCACTCTTCTTGAGCAAGCCTTCCACCATGCTTCTCTCCACTGGGGAGTCATCCACCACCAACACCCTCACCTCCGACCCTCCTCCAAACATGCTGCCTACATCCTAGATAACTTTGAATTTGTTATAATCATGTTTATCATATAGATGTTTGTCGAGTTCATCCAGTTGTATATAGTAAACTATTTCCTACATCCTAGATAACTTTATCCATTAAACTCTGAGAAGGGATTGAAATAACAATAATAAAGCAATGACATTATGGTCCATTAAGACAGTATAAGAGGTTTCAGATAAGAAAGCAATATTTTCTGATTCAGATAAACACCATTTTTCATTTTCAAAAAAGAGAATCATAGGAAAAAGAAAGATTCAAATAAGCCCACAAGTCACCAAGAGGGAAAAAATAATGACAAATAGTTGGCTAGGCCTGTGACAAGTCAGGAAGATTATATCCTCGATATAATTCAAACAATTAATCTATATGATGTTAACAAAATCTTGATTAGGCATCAGTTGGTAAATACCCGACAATCTTTTCTGATTAAAAGATATCAACTAAACTTCTTTCCTGGTGAAACTCACGTGGAGAGAGCGATGATATGTCTTGAAAGAAGCATCTAGACTTTATGTTGCTAGTTGGGTGCGGGATATTGGTCTCGATCTTAGACCGAATGACTATAAAAAGGTCACAAATGATGATGGTGGACTTCGTCAAGATAAGACTACATCTGAAAGAAGAGAACCATCAACATTGGGAGATCTTGCAATGACAACTTGAGGTGGAATGGAGACATTAAGGCCTGCTATGCAGCATGTGTATACAAAGATGCACTTAAAAGCTTTATATAAGCGTACCAGGAAGGGATAAAACAAGTCATGAAAGGGAAGGAAGGTGAAAAGTCTCAAGCACAAGAGATCGATGCAAAGAAGTTTAATTGATATCTTTTCACCAAGAAAGTTTGTTAAGTATTCACCAGTTGGTGCCTAATCAAAATTTTGTAAACATCATATTGATTAATTGTTTAAATTATGTCAAGGATATTATCTTCCTAGCTTGCGACAAGTCTAGCCAACTATTTGTCATTTTTTTTCCTTTTGGGTGAATTGTGGGCTTATCTAAATCCTTCTTTTTCTTGTGATCCTCTTTTTTGAAAATTAGAAATTGTGTTTATCTGTATCAGAAAATGTTGCTTTCTTATCTGAAACCTCTCATACTGTCTTAATAAACCATAATACCGTTGTATTATTGTTGTTCTACTAATCCCTCCTCCGAGTTTAATAAATAAAGTTATCCAGGATGTAGGTAATAGTTTACTATATGCAGCTGGATAAACTCGACAAACATCCACACGATAAATGTGATTATAATAAATTCAAAGCATTTTGATCAATAATCAATAAGTTTTGTTAGAGAGGATAAATAATTATACTGAGTTGGTCGGGTAAGAGAGCAAGCTATGAACTGAGAGGACTTATAATTGTTGGCTCAAGAGAGGCAATGGCAGGAGGAGGCGCTAAGCGATTATTCGGACGACTAATAGACGAGTGTTGAACTGCTTTTGATCGAGAACGACTCAAGCCTTCAGTGTTTGGCGCAAAAGTACTAAAATGGAAGAGACAAGTAGGAGGGATTTACTCTACTTCAGTGGTAAATTCGATGGTGAGGACGAGGGTGACAGCAAGAAGGGGGCTTCTTGATTGCGCTTTCACCGAAGGCAACGAAGAGGTAGAAATCTGAGCACCGATCGTCTCGATATGAAACCAAATCCTAGCCAAACGAATCCAACGATTTGAGTTGGCTTAGTCAATCACGAGTTTGAACTCAACCTAGCCGAGGGAAACATATGAAAACCATTTTTTAATAGGTTCCCTTTGTGAAAAAATGATTTCCATAGGTTTCCCTTGACCTAGGTTGAGTTCAAACTCGTGATTATGGCTAAGCCAACTCAAATCGTCAGATTCGTTTGGCTAGGATTAGGCTTCATATATGTGATTGTTATAATCACATTTATTGTGTGGATGTTTGTCGAGTTCATCTAATTGCATATAGTAAACTATTGCCTACATCCTAAATAACTTTATTCATTAAACTCGGAGGAGGGATTGGAAGAACAATAATAATGCAACGGTATTATGGTTCATTAAGACATCGTATGGGAGGTTTTAAATAAGAAACAACATTTTTTGATTCAAATAAGTATTATTTTTCATTTTAAAAAAAGGATCACAAGAAAAAGTAACATTTTCTGATTCAGATAAACATGTAGGAATCCCTTACAAAAGCTTACCTGTAGCTTCTTAATGGCAGAGCCATCCTTGTTAAAGTACAACTCTTTGCCATAGCTCTGATCCTAGAATTGCACCTCTTCTGCATTAGCAAGTTCTGCCTTCTGCTGCTTGTTGAACCAGAAGATATGGAAGCAAGTGAAGAGAACTTGGAGAAATTTTCAACAGAAGTCTTGTCGGCATGAAGACAAGTAGCAACACCCAAAGAGCCTATTGTGGACATGGTGCTAAAAGTAGAAGCCATTAAAATGAATGGACCATTATCACCTAGAAACAAAACAGAAAACTGTGAAGGCATACTGTCACAATGACATCACCTACAAAGAAGCTACATAAAAAGAAAACTCTAGATAATCCACAGATTGTTCCAATCTATGAATATGTAGGCAGACATAAACAACTCCTAAATCTTAAAGAAAATGTTGTATTACAAAGTGCAATCAGCAAGGTGAAAACTAAGATCAGCAGATTTAAGCATTGTTGTATCAAGAGTAATTTAATTAGGCTTTTTCTCAGTTAAAGAGAGTTTCAAGTTCACATAACCAATATAATCGTTTCAAAGCAATCTAACAATGACCTTATCAGATGACAATAACTTAAGCTAAAGACACTAACAAACCACATGAGATTTCCAGATTCAGGACAGTTTTGACATTTTACATCTAGATTTTGTTCTGAGGACCTATCCAACAGGTAAGTTCAAATGTTTTGCAAGAAATACTTTGCATAACTATAACAAGCAACTTTCACCAAGATAAAATAATGGGACCTGCTACACTAAGAGTTTCAACATATGCAGATCCAAAGAATTGAGGCACTTCAACAATCAACACAAAAGAAAAAATGAAAAAGAAAAAGCTTGAATAGAAAAAAGAATTAATATTGTGATTCATGTGACAGATAAAATTCATTATCATGCACATGAATTTTAATCAACCTTGGCACCGTATGCTCTAAATCACGGTATTTCGGTACTTATTTCCGAAGAGAAGTACCTTAGTCGATGACTCATACCCACACACAAAATGTTCTTCTTTTTGCACGCAACTAACTACACTCAACTGTTCCACCATGGTCGCGACACCTCCACCAAACCTAGGTGAAAGTCCTTGCTTTCTCTATCTTCTCTTTCACTTACAATTATGCAGTGAATAAACTCGCAACAGATCTTCGACAAGAAACAGAAACATGATCAAATAAAGATGAATCTTTGCACTTAGACAATCACCAAAAATAACAAAATGCGCAGGTCCAACCACACCATGCTTCACTCATAACAACGAAAACCCTCTTCGCACCGCATGCACGAACGCTCTCGCACAACTACGAGAACTGCCAAAACCTCACATTTTACCCAAGGACATGCAAAAACACTCATTTACCCAAGGAAATCGAAGCTAGACCTAGAAAGCATCACCACCATACCACTTATTTGAGGAAAAAGAGAACGGAGAAGAGGAAATAGAGAATGACAACGACCTACGTCCGCGAGAGGATTTAGGAGGAGAGATAGGAGATAACCACGCTAATTTGCGATGGCGAGATGATCATGGTGGCAGGGGGTAGGAGTTGGGCCGTGGATTTGCTTTTGCATAGAGCAAACTGCAGAGGGTGAAGAGGAATAAATGAGGTTTTATTTGAAGGTTTCGCGGGGGGCCGATCTGGACCGTCGGAACACGGTTCCCGTCCGATTCCCCCCTTAGCGCTAATGGAACTCTCTTGAAGTATGGGGAAGGATCTCTATGTCAACGCACGAATCTTTACTCGTACCCACCAGTCATTAAGAGTCAACCTTTTCATCGGCATCGTATTGATTCAACTTCAACTCCCAAACACCGTAATTTATTGCCCAAGTTCAGGTTTGACTAGAGACACGTCTTCTAGTTGTATTTATGATATATTTCGATGATGTATTTTATTTTCTCATGATTTTATTTGAGTTTACGATATATATATATATATATATATATATATATATATATATATATATAATAATAAAAATAAGATACTAATATGAGATCTTATGATAAATTATCAAAATTAATTTAATCAAAATTATATATTTTATAAACTATTATTTTTTAATCAAATATGAAAGTTAATCTTTAACAAATGAAAAAAAGAATCATTTTTTAACTACTCAGATCTATATTCATTTTTTAACTACTCAGATCATTTTTTTAGCAATGATAGCTCTACGACTCAAATATTCACAGTCATCTTCTCCTCTTTCGCCCGCTCTGACTAGGCTCGCAATGCAACGTTGGCTCATGAGAACTGGCTGATCAGCACCCCTGCGTCCCGTAAGGGGTCGACGACTGTCGTCATGTAATGATAATGCTGTGAGAAATCAAAGTCAATCAGAGGAAACGAAGGAAACAACTAGAAGCACCCGAGCAAGCACTCTCACCAGGACTTCATGGCGGAAGCAAAGATCCGCCAACCCCTCCGTCGAGCAACGATACACTAGCCCAGCCAATGCCAGGCTTGGAGCCATGATCCCAAACGTTGCAACATCAACAACCAGAAACGAGGACGGCGCCGGCCTAGCAACAATTTCTTCCGGAGGCTCAGGGGCCAGATCAGACAAGGGCCTCAAGAAAGCCCTAACCACGGGATCGCGATCCCGTACAACCGCGGGATCAAGATCCCTAGCAGAGGACGCTAGAGAAAGTGGAATTTTAACCAAAGGATTCGGCTTTGCTCTAGGAGGACCCCCGGAGGCTTTGATGGAGGGGTCGTGGGGGGAACCTCGAGCCCATGCTGGCCGCTTGCCCGCTGACATCCCCTCGCCGAGTCCGGAGGTAGGAGTCAAAAGGCACGATCTCTTCATCACCCGGAGGTCCACCCTTGCTCGGAGAATACCATGTTAATGTCGGAAGCACATCGAAAAGATGCAGCGGTGGAAGAACAAAAGGAATAGCCATACCAGATGAAGCCGGTGAAGAGGCGACCTCCATCAAACAACCTCCTATCGCTCTATGGCCCCTGAGGCAAAAAGCTCTCGTATTTTCTCCAGACTCTTGGCCTCCACCACAGATAGGGAGGGCAGTGCATTATCAACGATATGCGCCCCCCACGCTACAAGGAAGCCCCAGTCGCCATCACCATCGACAACGAAGTATTGACCCCTCCACCCCTTTGCACAAGAGTTCGCCCCGCTGATTATGAATCCCGCACTATGAGACAGGTAGTAGCTACTCGATCCTCGGCTCAACCGAAAGCACGAGCAGAGCAGCTCGCAAAACAACGCCATCCCCGTGCGATCACATGCCCTGAGGAAAGCCCTCACGAAACGATAAGAGTTGGGCGCCATCTGAGACCGCGAAATCCACCAATACCCCAAGCAGGCAACCACCAATACCCCAAGCAGGCAACCACCATGGGAGAAAGGGGGAGACGCGAGCCCGCCTCTAAAGCATCCAAGGAGAGGCAAAACCCCCGGCAGAATTGATGGACCTGGGCACAGCGAGGATAATCTCTGGTGGGACCTGGAAGCGGTCCTATAGCTCCTCCAGTTGCCGGGAGGTTACCATAGAACCGCAATCATGGGTCTCCTCCAATTGTCAAGAGGTTACCACGAAACCGCAATCATGGGTCTCCCCGAAGTCCTGAGAGATTGAAGGAGCATTGAAGGGTTGGCTCCCCGAAGAGGAGCTCACGTCGACCACGTTTCGCAAGGAAGTGGCTGACTTCTTCGCCCCCCGCCGACGCTTGGAGGTCCGACGAAAGGCAATAGGAAGGTTATCATCAGAAGAAGGCATCCCCATGGGAGAGGTCACCGTCTAGTTTGAGGAAGAAGATATCCTGGGACTAGACTAGATGGAACAGCCGAGCAATGGAGAAAATTGAGACAAAAAGTACCAGAAGGACCCAAGAGCATCCCAAGCGCCAGATGGGAGAAACCAAATCAAAGACAAAGTCCGCTAAGCTCTACAGCCAAAGCTTATAAAAACAGACGCGGACCCACGAATCGACGCGACTATTCAAACATTATGCCCACAGAACTGGCCTCTCAACGGGCAACGACGCAGCATCTCATCATGAGGACGAAGATGCCACGTCAAAAAGAGTCAGGGCGCGCCAGCAGCTGCCACAGATTTAACTTCCCGCATGAAGATGAAGCTTCCCGTATACAGATGCCTTCCCAACTCGACTCAGCCAATCCTTGCCGACTAAGCCTCGGCCAGTCCCAGCCGACTAAGTCTCGACCAGTCTCGGCCAACTAAGTCTCGACCAGTCTCGACCAATCCTAGCTGACTAAGCCTCGACCAATCCTTGCTAACTAAGTCTCGATCAGCCCTCGCCGACTAAGCCTCGACCAGTCCTTGTCGACTAAGTCTCAGCCAATCCTCGCCGATTGAGCCTTGACCAGTCCTCACCGACTGAGCCTCAACCAGTCCTCGCTGACTAAGCCTAGACTAGCTCTTGCCGACTAAGTCTCGACCAGCCCTCGTCGACTAAGCCTCGGCTAACTCTTGCCGACTAAGTTTCGACCAGCACTCGCCGACTAAGTTTCGGCCAGCCCTTGCAACTAAGTTTCGACCAACCCTTGCCGACTAAATTTCAACCAGCCCTTGCCGACTACGCCTCGGTCAGTCCATCGCCTCAACGCGATCAAGCAAACCTCGTAGCAGGTCCCTTCTTCCGCTTCAAACACGAGCAAGCCAAACCCCACGACAGGTGCATTCTCCCGCTACCACTTGATCGAACAAACCTTATGGCAGGTGCATTCTCCCGCTTCCACGCGGTTGAATAGACCTCACGGCAGGTGCATTCTCCTGCTTCAATGTGGTCGAGCCGAACTTCCCAACAGGACCATTCATTCGCTTCAACGCGATCGAACCCAACTCCCCAACAAATACATTATCCCGCTCAAGAGCAATCAAACCAATCCTACATCAAACGATCCACCGCCCCAAATCAAAACAAGCAGACACCCCAACGAAGGGACACCATCCGCCTTGCAAATAGTTGATCACAAAAAAACCACGCCCCAGCTAGCCTTCGCCAACCCTGTATCAGCCATCCCTATCGAGCACACCTTGCTCGGCCCACCTGACCATGCCTCAGCCAATCCTTGCCGAAGACCAAACTTGCGACGAGGTAATCCACCCAGTCAATGGGACTGAGGACTCGACCCACAGAAGCCCCAACTCGTGCCCCACGATTCTCCTGTGGCATAACTCCTTTAGGGGGGAGAGAATGATATAGCATATTTCAACCACGATATGAAGACTTAGCATGATGTCCCTAAGCCAATGTGTCGGGCAGAGCCTACTCAACATCATGAGCCCGAGGCTAGTCAGTCACTTGATGCCATCCCTTTGCACCCACTTCGCTCCAGGCTATATGGGGTGACGCGACCATGTACCGGGCCACACAAAAGGCAGGAAGCAGCACCGAACGAGACTACATTGAGTAGACCAGACGGCGCCTGCACCCCACATACGGGCCAACCACCCGCGACGTCAGCGGGTATTAAATACCCGCGTACGATGACGACCAAGGATCATTAAGGCTGCTACAATCGCACGCAGGAACAAGTATAAAAGCTACCCTCAGGAACAATGCTGGGGGAGGACCTGGCACACACGCACGTTCCAACTCTCCCATCTCCAACTCTTGCTAGCTTAAGCATCGAAGGGATCGGGTCGAGAAGTCCCTTTCCGACACCGACCTGTATGCAGGAACACGATGAACGACAAAAGGAGTGATCTTCAACCTACAACCCGACGAACCTGGGTCACGGCCTTTCAACCGACTTCACGTCAATACGCTCCAGCTCAGAGATCATGCTGGTCATCTTGCGCACTCGGGACGAGCCAAGCCATGCTGACACCTCAGCTACGGCATAAAGGTGCAAAACACCCTGCATTAGTACGTATGAAGATGGATTGAGATGCATCTCTAAAACATGTGTGGCTTTCACTTTCACGTGAAAGCGATAGGGTGAAGGGATGAGATCATGAGTGAGTGATGAAACATTAACCACAAACAAACTGCTCAATACGAATCAAATGCACTATCAAAGACTTTGATGATTAGGGATTCAGATGAATAGGAAGACAGATTTCTAACTAAGCGTGAAAGTTGCGAACCTCATGGATTTCATCCATACGGCAGCAACCACCAAATTTTCCATACGATCGAAACAAGACGATCCAGGAATCAATATTTAGCACTTCATACCATGTTTGTGCTTCGATCTCAGAGAAGCACAGATAAGTTGAGCAGTAACAAAGCTAATTAGAAAGCGAGATATAATCGCCAAACAGATCCATGAGACCCGATATATCTAAAAGAGAATAAAGAATGGACACATGTAGAAGAGATATAAAAACATCCTTTCTTGGTCAGAGAGATATAATCCACTCTAACGCCAAAGAAAGCAGAGGACATGAGATGGAACGAGGGATCGTTTACCGTGTTACTTACCGAAGTAAGCCGACATCGTTGTTCGATCGGAGGATGAAGACGACGAAAGAACAATAACAAAGGGGAAGAGGACGGACAGGGAATGAGGAGAACGGCGGCCGTAAATACGCTACGAAGAGAGCGGGGAAGATTCGAGAATGGCAATGGCGAGCCTCTCGACCACGTGGGCTTTGGAGGCCCAACATCGAGAGGCTCTCTGTGGGCGCCCATTCGAGTGCGCGCAAATCACGTGACACGATATATAAGAAAATTTTGCCGCATTGATGAGCGAGGTAGTAACATTACTGTTATGCAATTAATTGCGCACCCAATGTGGATGGAGGCAACGTGATGGCGTCACCATGGACAACAGGAGCCATGCATTGACCCACATCCCATAAAGGTAATATTTGATGATAAAAATAATTATTAAAAATATTTATTATAGAAGTAAAATTTTTTTAAATATATTAATATGTCACTCTCAAATTAAAAGAAAGAATTTTCCTCAACTGAATAGAAGAGAAAAATTTTCTAGTATAATCAAAGAAACCTTATCTTCTATCAATATCTTCTGTCGATGTCAATACTACTGCAAGATCAATTCGTAGACTAAGATTAATTTAACAAAAGACATGACTTGTGTTTCTTGTTATTCTCTTCAAAATACATTATATTTCATACATTTCAAACACCACGTGGGTCTTTTTTTTTTTCAATGTGATGGTACCATTTTTTGCCACCATAATCACATATTTTATTTTAACAAATGATATTTTAATCTTTTTATATGGCATGTGAGTTCCAATTCTATATGCCATGAAGGAAAATGCTAAATTTTATAAAAAAATGTTTTAAGTTTTTATTTAATAACCGAATCTTTTAGGATGAATGATTATCCAATGAAAATATTTATCATATGTATAACATGGCTTAACCAAAATCATTTTTGGTAGAATATTTTGCTATCCTATGCTTTGCGCAATAGGAATTACAAACCGAAAACAATTTTACAATTTATACAAATTTGATTGCAACGAAAATAGACAGATGTATAACATCAAATTTCAATCTGTGGACAGATAGAAACGTGTTTCACAAATTAAAACAAATAATAAGTATTTCCTATATGCCTTATTGTCACGACCTTAGCTGATTTTGCCTAAGCC